ATGGCCAGATGCAGAAATGAACGATTTTCAATTTTTCTTTCTCTTTTCTAGTTGTAAATTCAAATGTCCATGTCATAAAAGTCAAAAAATCATAGTTAGCGAATAGCCAGATTCGAATCAACCGTTGCAATAACTGATATCAGGTTCAAATGAATAATCAATACAAATCAATACAGATCAATAACAATAAGAAAACGCTGACGGCCTACTCCCTAGACAATCTAAAAATGTAGCGAAGTTTATCAACCTTGATATGTTACTGTCGCGATCCTGCTTGTTGAAGGTCTGAACGCTGAACTATTCGTTAATGCTACATGGGACAAAGGAACAAAAGAAAAAGAAGAATTAAAATTACAACCCCAACAACTCGTTTGACATTTCATATGAATATTTTCAAAGCAAACTGAAATAATGAACTTTCATCAAGTCAACAAAACATAACATGATATTAAAATCAATTATGCAAAGAATATACAGGATGATCTCCGATGTATGCCCTCATGTATGCCAGTGACTCGCAGCTCCATGAAATCTGTAACAGAAAGGCTCAAAATATCCTACAAAAGGGATGCAAGTTCTCAAAATACATTCAGTGAAAACCAGAGTTGAATTAATTACTCTGAAAAGGTCAGTTGAATACTAGGTACTATCAATATTTCATAGAAAAAGTAACATTTACTAAAAGTTGATGTTACAGTGCAAGGCATCGGTTTCGCCTCTTCACAAGTGCCTTCTGGGTTATTCTCATCCAGACCAGTCCTTGCTACAATTTCAGGGAGAATACGTCCCAGACCTTGCTATGGTCAGCTCGGGTGCGTGGGACCGCCAGTCCCAAAACGTCTACTAACCCATTACATGGGTTTTCCCCTATAATCTACAGGGTACTAATACTTGTAATAGGCATTTTCAACGTTCCCTGCGCCATGGCCCAACCTAAGTCGGGCCAACTACCTCCGCATCCTCCTATCCTCTCATTCATTCTTAATAATTTACTAACACTCTGCTGTTCAAATTTAGTTCAGTTGGAAGTACTACCTGCAGTGCTTTCGGGTACTCTCTAGACTTGCGTCTAGGACCGTCCCTACTACTACTACACTTTCCCACCAACATTCACTAATTCTCACAGCCCTTCCATACTTGTATAAATATAACTCTCTATATATATATATCCAACAATAATACCAATTCTATTTTTATATCATCGCTTTCCTTCTTGTAAATAATTCGACCGCAAATTTATTCATTTCTCTGTATGAATGTTCATATTTACAAACATCCTCATGATTCCACCTATTTACGCCTTCTTGCTGTATCTCCATTCTGTCTAAATTTCTTATGTCATTATATATCCTACAATCTGTTAATACATGTTCCCACGTCTCTATTTCATCGCCGCATAAACATCGATCATTCTCTTCTAACCTTCTTTGATACAAAAATGTCTTTAAACTTCCATGTCCTGTTAATATGAAATTCATTTCTAAACTTGGGTCAAACCACTTCCACTTTCTTACTACTCTTACATCCGTAATAAACTTCTTCGTTACTATCCCCACCGTATCTTCTACCCATTCTTCCTGCCACTTATCATACATTATTTCATCTAAATATACCTTTTTTGCCTTTATTCCTAAACCTAACCATTCTTGTCTTCTTTCAATTAATTCCTCTTCAATCCGCATATTTCCTAACTCTAATCCTTTTTTCATTTAATACAATATTCCTCGTTTTATAGCCTCGTATCTCCATGGTAATATTCCCATTAATACCTCCATTGCGTGAGTCGATACCGTTCTGCATACTCTCAAACTTGCATATAACCCTACTCTCTCCACTTTATCTAAAGCTTTTTTCATTTTTACCTTCTTCAATTCCTTATACCATATTGCCGCTGCAACCTACACAAATCGTGCTGATGCACCAAGGTCACTAGACCACTATAAATGGGTAGTAGTGGGCATCCGCGCCAGCAACAGCCGAAGGTGGGGTGGGTCGAATAAAATGATTTGGTTTTCAGTGAAAACAAGATTTGATGGTCATGGGCGCCAGGCGAATTTCTAACCCCGCGTAGATACCCTAAACAGTTCAAACTCAATCTCCAAATTCACTAAACAAGATTGAGGCAGATTCGAGTCAGAAACGTTTAACAATAAAATTCGAGTTAACCTTGAATGTATTTATTACACCTTGAACTAACAAATCAGTCCCTATTCAGTTCCTGTCGTAACAATTTATAATAATTAATAACATTTAAATTTCTAAAAATATCCACTTTAGTTCACTGGTCTATATAAATAGAAAAAAAAATAGTCAGTTACTCCATAGTAACTGGAGGAATTAGGGAAACAAAAAAAATATAACGGTGAAGCACTATGTACAACTAAGCAGTGATTGGCACAAACATAGCATAGCCAGGCGAGCATCGACTACTGGGGCGAGGGCTCACGTAGAAATTAGAGGGTTGATACCAATAAAGCGTAAATAGCAAATACTTATTATGTCCAGTTAGGGAATACGCAACGCATGAGCTCAGGCGCAGGTATAGACAAGTTGGGAATACTAACTAATTTTCCACGTTCAGTCTCTATAATTTCTACTCACATAACCCAAGCAGTATGATCTAAACCCAAATATATTTTTATAAACATCTAAAAGGTCAAGTCGATGAAACAGTAGTGAGCACCGCAATAATTATGATAGCAACGATAGTAAGCAAAAAAAAAATCAAATGCTGTATGCCTAACAGCCAATTCAGCGAGGAGATACACAATAACAGCAAGCATAGGTAAAATAACAATTCATATACATCAACAAATATAGCAAAAAAAATAGCAGTAATATCATGCGCAGCAAAGTATCAAGGTCAATATATTATATGATGCAAATTTAGCAAAAAAAAAATATATCAGCTAGGTATTCGTAGCAACTTGCCAATCTCTGTATAACTATGAAGTAATTCAGTATAAAGTTGAGCACACAAGCAAGCACAGCCAATATAGATATCAAACTCTACAATATGAAGCAAATTTGGCATTACAGTAAGCAAGCATAGCAAACGTAGCAAATTCTTCAGCTATGAAGTAAGTGTAGCATAAGAGTAAGCATATGATGCAAGCATAGCAAATGTAGCAAGTTCTATAAATATGTAGTAAGTTCAGCTTGATAGTGAACAATAATGGCAAGCATAGCAAATGTAGCAAACCTTATATATGAAGCAAGCAAAAAGCAAAAAAAAAAATAAGCAATCAGCAAATCATAGCAAACTCAGCATAAAAACAAACAGAAGTCAAAAACTTGCGTGTCCTCTAGTGGCTTGTTAAAGTTGAGACACCCTGTATCACACAGGTAGTAGGTCGCAGCGTTACGGCAACCTCCTTCTAGTACTGCTTTGCCTGACCAAACGAATCTGATCCTGCTATATCATGCACCATGCCCAGTGTATAGTTGACTTCGAGCAACCCAAAGTTGGTATCCTCAAAAAAAAAACCCTAGGGAGAAATAATAAATATAAGTACCATCTCTCCTGAGAAAAATGAAATCATACTCCCTACTGTCCAACATTTTTTTGGAATATTGGAGATTTTCCAAAATATTGAAGCTATTTGATATACAAAGCCAAAAGTACCAGAATATTCTCCAAAAATAATATGTACCCTCTACTAATGTAGTATGGCAAGTATTTGTATAAAAATTCACCTAATGAAATGTTATTTTCTAGCAAACAAACTGGGAATTTCTTAGTAGTATTTACACCTACAAAAGTCATGTAGACATGAATATTTTTCAATGAATAACCCTCAACTTCTTATTCACAAGGTAGTTTGCAAATTATGAACTATCTAATAATTTAAATGCCAACAAAAAAAAATGATTAAGTTACCATCTAAGTAGAATAACTGCTGGCTGGATTTTGAATTGGTTACCACTAGATGGGAGTGAAAAAGGAAAAAAAAAATGATTTCACTAAGAATACATGCAAAAATAACAAGGAAAACATCTTACCCTGGCCAAGAGGTTTTATGTTCTGACAGCACATATAATGGTGGAGAGGTGTCCTTCAAGTGATTATAGGCCTTATGTACTTGTCATTAAGGGTCTGGCAATATTCCGGACTGATATTCAACTATCAACAAAAAAAAGTTTCACAGTAATGAACTCTACCTCAATTTATGAAATCAACAACTAGAAACATTCCAACATTGGAAATACACGAATTTACATACCAAATTGAATAGCTGATGTCCGTAGAGCCGTCTCGATCACTTCATGTATGCAGGAGAATGGTGAACTTTCAAATCCTCCTAAGAGTCCAATCTTGGGGTAGTACTCCAAAATACACACCAAATAACGATAACCTTACACCAAGATTAGTAAAAATGGTCGACAAAAATAATCCCTAACAAGGATGACCAAAATAATCAAAATTTTGTGACCAAACGGTTCACCATCACTTTTACTCCCAAACACGAAGTAACGAAGTGGGCCGACTCCACTCAAACCCAGCAGGGGTCGCTTCCAGCAGCAATCCTGCTTCCAGCCTATCAGAACCCTTTCCACGAACACGGAATTACAATTTGGAGTCTTCACCTCTGTTGGATAGGTGTCGACACCATAAAGGATATGTGTATTGCCTTAAAATTCTGGAAAACTGATTCTCAGCAACACCCGAGTTCACCTCCTACAGCCTATCACAGGCAAGTCAGGACTTATATTTCCCAAAATATAGTCCATTATACAATCAAAATTCCAGGACTTTCCTGCTATTAGAGCTGGCAACGCCGCCCTAGAGATGGGCGCAATTCCAGCAGTAACATATGTCCGTCCGTCCGTCGTGGTGTACAGACGTGTTTTCGTGCTCTCGGTTTATGATCGATTTTATCGGCTAATTATAAACTGTTCATATCGATATTCATACAAAAAGTCGCACATAGTGTATTCGATAAGATTCTCAAAGCAGAATCGAAACCATCAGATAGTTCTTGTGAAAAAGTGCATCAAACATGTCAACTACATGCGCCTCATGCACAACACTTATCAACAAAAAATCTCCAGGTGTTCAATGCGATGGTTTTTGCGCCGCTTCTTATCACGCCAAGTGTATCGGCCTTACAATCGACCAGGTGAATCTCATCAAGGACTGTAGGAACACCACTTGGATGTGCGACAAATGCAGAAATAATGATAGTTCGGAAACTGGATTACATTTAACTTCTCCAGGAACTACTATTGAATCAAAGATGCAACAACAAATTTTGAATTTTATGCAAGACATAAAATGCGAAGTGAAGGAGCTCCGCGGAACGCAAGCAGACCTGATCAAATCGATAACTTTTTGTACTGATAAGATATCTGATTTTGAATCTACTCTTAAAAGTTTCAATGATCAAATCAAGAACATTGAAAAACTGAAGACCGACAATCAATACTTAACGAAAAATGTACAATCATTGAACAAAAAAGTCAGTGATCTTGAGCAATTTTCTCGCATGAATAATATCGAGATACAAGGGGTACCAGATAAGAAAAATGAAGATATCTATAAGATCATTGACACCATACACAAGTCGTTAGGAATACAAATTACTTCAAGCATGATAGACTCCGCCCATAGAGTAGCATCCTTCAGCTCGAACAAGCCAAAAAATATCGTCGTCAAATATACTACCCGAAGAATACGTGATGATATTTTATCTGCTGCAAAAGTTAAAAGGATGGCCTCTACTAGTCGCATAATAAATATTGAAGGAATTTCTAACAACTTATTCATCGTCGAACACTTGTCTCCTGGTAACAAATCACTGTACAAAAAAACAAGAGATTTCGCCACTTCCAATAACTACAAATTCGTCTGGGTTAAAAACGGCAGCATATTGATAAGAAAAGATGAAGGATCCAACGTAAAACGAATCGACTGCGAGGACGACTTGAAATCACTTTGAATTTGCGAAATTATCAATGACTCCATCCTGTGAAAAATAACCATCTTCACACAATTAACGTGTTTCTACCAAAATCTTAGAGGTGTTCGATCAAAGACACATGAATTCAAACTAAACACCCTCATATGTGACTATGATATCATATGCCTAACAGAAACGTGGCTAAATAGTGGGGTGACAACTAGTGAAATATTCGATAATAAATTTTCCGTGTACCGCAGAGATCGTGAGAGTTCCACAAGTGTGAAAAGTGATGGTGGAGGTGCTTTAATCGCGACTCGGAGTGCGCTGCAAGTGGTGGAACACCCTGAGTGGCAAACGGAAGCCGAAGATATATGGATAACTCTTTATAAACCAAATAGTAGCAAAATTCATATATGTTGTGTATACCTGCCCCCCGGAGATGATAACGCCCTAGTTTGTTTTACAAACAACCTCTACAGAATATTCCATGAGATATCCGATGATGTAGTCCTAATTTGTGGGGATTTCAATATGCCGCATACTTCTTGGGAACCTAAACCAAACTGCTCATTCTTAATTCCCACTGTGGTGGAACAAAAATTTATAGAACTAAATGATATGCTATGCTTTCATGGTCTCTCACAGTTCAACAATCTAAAAAATGTCAACAACAGAATACTAGATCTAATTTTATGTAACAAATTAGTAATTGATAAACTTCAACACGGCGAGCCTCTAGTGAAAGAAGACCCTCATCATGTGAGTATAGAATTCAATCTAAAACTGTCTGTGCTGAAAAAACTTAAGTCAAACATAAAATCTCTTAACAATTACAGGAAAGGTAATTACGATGCTTTAAATTTTGAAATCTCTAATATCGATTGGGTTGATATCTTTCAGAGGATTTCAACCGTGGATGATTGCATAGAAGTATTCTATGAAAAAATATATAATCTCATTGAAAAATTCATACCCAAAAAAAGAATTTTCAGTGATTTTCCATCGTACTTCACCCAAAATACACTAAAATTAATAACAGAAAAAAATAAAGCCCATAAAAAATGGAAATCTTTGAATTCTCCAGCAGATTACTTGTTGTTTCGTCAATTACGACGCAGAACCAAGCAAATGATAAATAAAGACTACAAAAATTTTATCAATACTGTCCAAAACGATATACCAAATAATACAAAAAAATTTTGGCAATTCGTATCCGCAAAAAATAGAAATGATAGTCTACCCAATTCAATGAAACTAGATGATCAATCTGCAGACGGTGCTGCAGTTTGTGACCTTTTCTCTAAATTTTTCAGAAGTGTATTTCAACCTTACGATCAAACATTACAAGTCTTTTCGAAAACAGACAAGTGCCTGATTAACAAAATCTACGTTACAGAAAATGAAGTTCACGACATTCTTTGCAAGCTCGATGAAAATAAAGGCTGTGGTCCTGATGGTATTCCATCATTTTTTATCAAAAACTGTGCATCCAGTTTATATGTTCCCCTTACCATTATATTCAACAGATCCTTTGACGAATGCACATTTCCGAAAAAATGGAAAGAGGCATACGTAGTTCCGATTTTCAAAAATGGTGAAAAATGTTCCATAAGTAATTACCGACCGATTTGCAAAATAAATATACTAAGTAAATTACTTGAACTAATTGTACACAAAATGCTAATTTATAAAGTTAAAGAATGTATCATTCCTGAACAACATGGTTTCATTCCGAAAAGGTCCATTGAAACTAACCTCACGTTATACAATGAATTTATTTTATCTGCAATGGATTGCCAAACCCAAGTGGATGCCGTGTACACGGATTTCAGCAAAGCTTTCGACAAAATTAATCACAACATATTGATGTCAAAATTGTCTGAGATTGGTGTACACGGTGATCTGCTCCGTTGGTTTGCTTCATATATATTTAATCGGTCACAAATTGTTATAGCTAATGGATATGAATCTAATTCTTATATTGTCACTTCAGGTGTGCCACAAGGATCACATTTAGGGCCCCTACTTTTTCTGATTTATTTAAATGACATCACGTCATCATTTGAAACTTGTAAATTTCTACTTTTTGCGGACGATTTGAAAATATTTGCATCTGTCAAAAGTCCAGTCGATAACCTTTTAATTCAACGTGACCTAGATCGCTTGTATGATTATTGTATCGTAAATAAAATATTTCTCAATTTGAACAAATGTTTTTTCATCTCGTTTACTAAAAATATCAATATATTCTCATACGATTATAATTTCAATAACACCATTTTGAAGAAAGTGGATAAAATCAAAGATCTTGGTGTCGTTTTCGACAGAAAGATGACATTCTCAGAACATATCGATTATGTTGTAACGAAAAGTAACAAAACCTTAGGATTCATATTAAGACAAAGTAAAAACTTCAATTCCATTCAAGCATTAAAAGCATTATTTTATTCTTATGTCTACAGCAGACTTAATTACGCAACGGTTGTGTGGAATCCTCAGTATGCTGTGCATAAGAACAGATTAGAGTTGATTCAAAACAAATTTTTGAGATTTATGGACTACAAGGTTAATGGTACTTATAATCACTTGGCAAGCACATGTAGACTTAGGGAACAGTTTCAGTTCTATTCATTAGAGGCTCGTCGAGAACAATCTGATATATTCTTTTTGTATAAAGTTTTAAATAATTTATCTGACGCTCCAGATCTATTGTCAAAAATCTCAATTCATGTCCCTTCACGTTTTCTCAGACCTAACAATACTTTATTTTCTGTATCATTTTGTCATACAAACGCAGGAGAAAATTCACCACTACATAGAATGAAAAATCTGTACAATCGAAAGTTGTTTTCTGTAGATATTTTTCAATCCTCACTGAATGTTTTCAAAAAAAAATCAGATACATATACAATTCTCACAGTGCATAGAATATTCAGCAAATTGTAATCATTTCAATGATAAATCTTATTTACTTCATTATCAAATTTTTCAAACTTATTTTAGTTTTTGGGTTATTAATTTATATGTACACCATGAAACTATGTAATAATTGTGGATAACAATCTGGACCTTAGGGTCTGTCGTTATCCTATTTGATTTTCAATAAATAAATAAATAAATAAATAAACATATCGTTACGGTTGAATCACAGTTGAATGCTCATCTCCTGGGTCCGACCAACCATGGACTATGGAATTCGAGAGCCAGCCGCCGAAACCTATCTTCAGGCAGACCAGCGATTTGGTGGCCGACCATCAGCGATTCGATCAGCTGATCGAAAATCAAAACAAAACAACAGACGGATGCTGAATCAAAAATTCCTTCGAGATGATCTATAAGTTCTATAACATAAGACGAATGAATTGATAATCTCCTAGGAGTCCCAGGTACGTTTTATTATTTACTTTATTGGTGTTCATCATCGACTATCTGTGCTAATAAATGAACGAACAATACTACAAATACACCACAGTTATACTTAAATCTAATTATTTACATTTTTGTTTTAGGACGGAGCAAGAAGAGATAAATTCATCCAAGTAGTGCTGGAACGAGTCGAAGAAAGATCAACAAAGAATAGATTCCCGATTCAACTGCATCGATGTTAGTGTACAGTTTGAAACAGTGCCAATATTGTTTAGTTTAATTAGTTTGTGTGTTGTGACAATAACGTTGAATGAATATACAGGGTGAGTAAATATGGGTTTCATTCAATTTTTGAAGCTTCAGAGATAGATTATTATTTAACGTGGAAATTCAACGTTACAAATCCCCCCCTTACTTCAAGAAATTTGCCCGCAAATTTTTCCTAGGTAAAAAAACCTAAATATTTAGAATCTATACCCCATGAAACTTGTAGCAAGTACCCTCCTTGGTACAAGATATGTCCTAGGACATCTTGAGCTCCAGTTGCGTCACAGATGGATGACCCGGATGATTGCCCGACCGACAGCGTTCCAAGGGAGCCTCGAAGGGGCCCTCGCGAAGATGTCAGACGCGTCGTGGACCAGCCCTCCGGTTAACCTTCCATCAGCAACTCTTGGACGCGCCGCCGCACGCACGGCTGACCGAGCCCGCCATCCGCGTCACACTGGATACCCGCAATGGAAAGCCAAAACATGTAAAAGTAAATTTTGATTTAGGGCAAGCCCAAGGACTGCCAGTTCAACCCTAGTGGACAGGAGGGCCCACCACCCTGAAACGGCGCTGATGCCGGTGCGAGATCAAACAAAACATTCGGGATTGTTCCACAACGCAGTGCGGCGGACAATCCCTCGTTCCCTCGGCTCAGGGACCTTTGACCGAATTCAGGAGTACTGACGGGCCATAGTGACGGGCGCCCGTAGGCAACTCGCGATTCCGTCGACCGGCCAGCTCCTGAATTCGTTCTCCAGTCCCGAACACGTAACCCTGAAACCGGGAACGCGACCTGCTTGCCCCCACTGCGAATAGGTCCCTACCAAACAAAAACCCTCGCGCAAGAAAAAAAACAACCAAAAGGCGCACTGACGGCTCGGAGCGGATGAGTACGAACATAGACCTCTCAAGACAGACCACGGCCAACCCGAGGAAATCAAAGCTAAGACAATGCGTAGACGTCGAAGCAAGTTTTCACGTCCCAGAGATACCCCATTTCACACCTTCAATAGGAGAACGAGAACTAAAGTGACAATAAGGGCAGCTAACTACATACTCAAAAACACAAAAGAAAACCAACACCGACGACTTCACATATAAAGGAGATATGAGGTGAAGACGAGAAGACCAATATCCCCACCAAAACACAAAGGACTACTCAACTCCGCGGGAACATGAGCAAATACCTCATACCTTTGCGGGCCAACCAATTGAGACCCAAATCGTGAGATGTTGGAGTGTGGCCAGTTGTGGGACTTTTACCCACCGGCTGGTCATACCCCGGCAGGAGTATTCTCAGGCCCCTTCCTGCAGAGCCCCCCTTGCTTCAAGAGATTTACCCCTCAAGTCAAACTAAATCGAATCTGCATGATCAGGGGAAGCCCGAAGGTGCTTCGTGTGCCAATTCCCCTTCGAATTACCAGCCTCATCTCTCAACTCATAAACCCATGGAGTCAATCTTTTCTTGATATAAAATGGGCCGTCGTACTCTGGTGCCAGCTTGGCCGAGAAGTACTTCGTTGCGTCCGAATGAACCATATTCTTTTTCCACACAACCTGATTTGGCAAGTATTCGACATGTCGACAACGCAGGTTGTATCGCTCGCAGCCCTTTTCACCCGCGACCTCCAATCGCCTCTTCACGTCCCCAAACATTTTCCTGAAAGACTCGTTACGACTTAAGTCACCGGTTTGAGTACCATCCTCAATATCTAATAAAACATTGTCGCGATAATCTTTCCCTGACAGAACCATATTTCTACCAAAATTAACAAAGTAAGGTGTTAATTTCATCGTCTCATGTTTGGACGTGCGAATCGCACATGCAATTTCTTCCAGATTCTCGTCCCAACAGCGGTGGTTATCTGATACATAAATGGATAACATCGTCTTGATTACCCTATTGACCCTTTCAGTAGGGTTAGCTCGAGGATGGTAACTAGGAGTGAACTTAATATGACTACTGTACTTATCGGCAAACCTAATGAACTCCCTACTACGGTATTGAGGCCCATTGTCACAGATGATGGTTCTGGGGACTCCAAACAGTAGAAATACCTCGCTTCCCATCTTACGAATGATGGATGTACTCGTGGCCTTCCTCAGAGGAAACAATAACGAAAATTTGCTTAGGTAATCTGTTACTACCAACAAAAAGCAATTACCATGTTTCGACCTAGGAAGTGGTCCCATGAGATCTGTGGAGATCATTTCCCACGGCCTGTCAACCTTCGGGTGCGAAATCATCTTATCCGAGGGTTGGCTGTTCGAAACCTTATGCGCCAAACATACTTCACATCGCCGGACAAACCTAGCCACGTCATTGCGCATTTTCGGCCAATAATACCTCTCAGCATGTCAGGTACAACATGTTCCTTCCCTTTACGATGAATAACAGTGAAATGATACTGTTGGAGTCGTACCGCCCAGCGTGCTAAACGTCCTGTAAGGTCCTTGATATTATGGAGCCAGAGCAACGAGTAGTGATCCGTTACCACGGTGAATTCAACCCCTTCTAGGTACGGACGGAGTTTCTCTACAGCCCATAATACCGCTAAGCATTCGCGCTCTGTTGTGGAAAAATTCCTCTCCTGTCGAGTCAATGACCTACTGAGGTACGAAATCACTTTGTCGCCTTCAGGGTGCGGCTGGGTGAGGACGGCTCCAATGCCATAGCCAGAGGCATCAGTCTGCACTACAAACGGCTTGTCATAGTCCGGACAACTCAATATAGGTGCGGCCACGAGACATTCCTTGATCAACCTAAATGAACGTTCACACTCCTCACTCCATCTGAACTTACTACTTTTTTTGAGAAGTGATGTGATGGGTGCTATAATTGAAGAAAAATCCGGAATGAACCTTCTATACCAGCTAAAGGTTCCGACAACCATCCGAACTTCCTTCACGTTTATGGGAGGTGCAAGGTCTAACATCGCCTTAACTTTATCAGGGTCAACGTGTAAACCGTTCCTGTCGACGACGTAGCCCAGATATTTCATCTGCGGCCGGCAAAACTGACATTTGTCAACGCTTATTGTGATATTGGCTGAACGCAACCTACAGAAAACTTCATCCAAAAGTTCCGGATGATGCTCAAGGGTCTGACTCACGATAACCACATCATCGAGGTAAACAAAGAGGTTAGGCTCTAGATCATGACCTAGAACGTTATCAATTAGCCGTTGCCAGGTAGCCGGGGCGTTATGCAATCCAAACGGCATACGACGAAACTGAAATAGCCCACGGTTGGGGACCGTGAACGCCGTATACTGTTTGGACGACTCAGCCATCGGTACCTGCCAATATGCGGATTTCACGTCCAAACTGGAGAGATATTTGGCATCTCGTAGCTTGTCAAGAGTGTCGGATACTAATGGCAGCGGGTAACTGTCGCGAACAGTGACTGAATTTAGTTTCCTGAAGTCAACGCAGAAACGAAATGATTCGTCTTTCTTCCTCACAAGTAGGATTAGGTGATGACCACGGGCTATTTGAGGGCTCAACAATACCTAACTTGAGCATCTCCTTCAATTCAAGATCTATTTGCTTTTGGCTTTTGTCGATCGAATGCTCCTTCTCGACACGTCCATCTCGATCAGCTAGGAGTGTCGGCGAGCGTTTCCCTGCTGATTGCACACTGGACAGCTCTTTACAGTTACCCCCTCTTTTTTACACCAAAATTTTCCGCTTTTCACAGCACAACCAATTGCCCTGTGACCTGGTTGATTACATCGGAAACATATTACCTCCTGTGACGAGCTTGCTACATTCCTAACTGGACTACTGACAACCGACTGACAGCTGTCAACAGGAGTATCTACATCAACATAAGCGAGATCGGCCTCTAATGCACCACTTCTCCGACTAGGCGGAACGAAATTCTCGACGGCCTCCTTTCTAGCTTCCAGTCGCCGACCTAAATCGCGAAGGTGGGAAATTGAAGTAACATCAACCAAGACCAACTGATTTTGGTAAAATGGAGCTATGTTTTTCATAAGTACTTTCAGTTTGGTCTCCTCAGGTACCGGACACGTAAGTCTATTGAAATAACCTGTCATTACAGCTAAATAAATCCCTATGGACTCGTCTGGCCCCTGAGTTCGTTTTCGTATTTCTTCAAAAAGTTTTTCATTATAATTGGGAGTTAAATACTCCTCACGAAGTAAATTCACTAGTTCATCCCACGAACTAACTTCTTGACGATACGCGAGATGAAACTGGTAAGCTCTACCTGTGAATAAGTCAATTCCCGATTCAAGCAAAGTGTCTTTGGAAACATGTCGTGCGACCCTCAGTTCCTCGACTCGTTCTAGGAACGCAGTAGTACAGCTAGGCCGGTTGACGCGCAGTGCCGCCGCAAAAGCTCACCAGATGTCGTGGTGTCGCTAGTGTCGCTGCGAATGTTCGCTGTATTACGGGCGGCGGCAAATTCAAATACTGGATGGTTTGTATTTATAATATTTTTCGTGACGTAATTTTGTTTCAATCTGAATTTGGAATTAAATAAAAAAAAGCTGGTGTCACAACTCGGGGATTCGATCCCCGGCCAACGGACTGAGAGCCCGATACGCTACCATAGCGCTATACCACTAGACAGAAATTGTTACGAGTTGAAAGTGTAATACGCAGAGCGACGGCATTCACGCCGACCGGCAGACCGCCAGCAGAGCAGCAAGCGATAGATGCGACAGTGCAGGGTTGCCGGACGTTGCGCGCGGTGCGCTACATCATTGTCGGACGTTTGAAAAAATCGGATATTGCTCATAGACCATTTGAAGATGTGTAACGTCTGAACCTCAACAGATTTCGTATGACAGATGGCATTCAACATCTGACATATATTCTGACGTTACGACGTTTTGACATTTCGTCATTTCGACGTTTTGTCGTTTCATCGTTTTGACGTTTCGTCGTTTTGACGTTTTGTTGTTTGCCGTTTTTTGACGTTTCACTGTGCAGAATCGAGAATAGAAAAAATAAAATTATTAGTAAATAGGTTGTTATTTTTTATTGATTAATTGGGTGACATCATTTGGGTATCAAATTATCGAACCATTTGTATAAAATATCAACGTTGCGAAGGCTGCAATTGAAGGATTCTCGACGAAGGTGATGCATACAGGATTTGATGATGTTGTTGTGATCAAAAGTTGGAACGGTGTTGTACCAGGAATCGTCAAATTGTTCCAAATTCACGACCCTTGCATGTGCATTGAATGTTGCTAGTTTATCATCCAGAAACTCCTTCTTCTGATGTCCTCGCACATAAATGATATCGATGTCACTCAGCTTATCTTGAAGGATATCATCCAGTAAATTGTATGCCACAAAACCAGAAGAATATCTTAGGCCATGAATGTTTTTCTCCAAGAAACAAACGCCGCATCGGTCTTCTTTGCTGAGAGAGGAGAAGGATTTGTATGGAAGTAGCAAATAATTACTACATTGAACTCCAATTTTTATGGCAATCTCCTTGGGACGGAATTCATGCTCGATAATGAACCCTTGGATGTCTATGAACGCTACTCTCATGATGCCGGTCGAACTGGAACTGACTAGGAAACTGGGATTCAATTCCACTTCTTGATAATTTCACTGAGTGGGAGGTGCTCAATGATGTTATCGTGAACGATGATGCAATAGGCTCGAGTGTTGGCGGGAAATCCTTGGGATGCTTCGATTTCAAGTTTGACATCAACAGTGGAACTTTTGACACTTTCGTCTCGTCGCGAACAATCGATAACGAAAAGAGGCTGTTTATTGGCGAATTCGGGGTAACCCAGGAGCGGAGTGTGTAGGGAGGTGTTTTTATAGCTGTATCCGAATTGTGTATAGTTGAAGTACGCCTGTGGAAAAGCTCCTTTATCGAAGGCCAATTGCATCTTCTCCTTTGGATAACTTTCTCCGTTGAGAGTTAATGTGATATTCGTTATGTTGGCATGATTGAAAATTGTAGGATCAGTATTAACTTTAGTCAGATCGTGATCCGTTTGGAAGCAAACGATGACATAGCGAGGGCTTTCGAGAAACGAAGACGTTTTGACGGCCCATATTTCATTGGTGGCGCCTGTCGTGAGAGAAGGCAACATATGTAATTCCCATTTTCTGAAGGGTATCAGGATGGGAGTGTCAGCTTTGATTGCCTTCAAAAGTTGCAATTTAATCTGATCGTTTGGAAATAGTCTTTTCACTTTGAGTTCCACGTTTTCGATTTCCAATTGTACTTTTGTGGGTACAACAGCTGTGCCGACAGCAGTTTCGGTGATTTTGAAGCAGTTATTATCGTTTCCAGCTCGCACCAAACGAATGGAATGTTTACCGTAGGAGACACACTCATAATCGTTGAAAATATTCAACAGATGCTTCAATGGAATGAACATACTGAATGCTAAAGTTGCTGCATTGATGACATCAACGTTATTGGGATAGGTCCAACCTGCTATAGTCAAATGTTTTGTATCTTCGGCACTGTAACACAAGTAGCCTCTGACAGTGCTTACAGTACCAACATCACGTACTGATTCCAATTCCTTACCATTTTGATCATAGCTCATGGATTGAAACATATAGGCACCAGCATTATTGACGAAAGATACTTGACCAACACCTTCAGTTCTCGTAACTTTTCCGCTAATGTGCAAAATACTTTCATAGAGGGCATCGAAAGCATCAGACTGATTAATGTTGATTTCTATGACATCGTTATTGCGAAAGGACTTGACGTAAGGGTAGTATGTTCTCCATTCGACCTTTTGTATGGATTCGTCGATGTGAGGCTTCCGGAATATGTTGAACACTTGAGAGGATAACATGATAGCCGAGTGACCTGAGGAATTTTATATTCTGCAGACTGAGTGGACGAGTGTGACGGCTGATGAATGTCTTCTTGAAGACTGAAGGAGCAGACACAGGGGTGCGACTCTTATAAACACTTAGGACCATAATTTTTTCAGTTCCAATCGAATGATGACTTCTTCGTTTCGGAAATTCACCAGTTGAAAGTTTTGATCGAGCACTTTGAGCGTGATGTTGTAGATTTCGTTTGTATGGGTGGCGATGGGTAAATAAATAAGGTGATTCGGCGTTTCGTCGATAGCGTAACCAGGGTCAGCGTCAATGGCGAATTCGTAGATCGTGTGAGACGGTCTGTCGTTGTAGAATGCCCCTGAGGTAATGTTGCTATCGACATGTATCGTTCGAACTTTTATAATATTCACAGGCTGATCTGACACATGATGAATGCCATTTTCCAAGGTTCTAGACGAAAATCCCAATATTTTTGCCAAACTATTGTTCTGAGTGAAATCAATCACATGTTGTTCACAGAAAATTTCGCTCTTCAAAGTATTATTATTCGGTTTGAGATAAAAAAGGTCTTCGGGTTTCTGCGATGGTGGTAATGAGGTTATATTTTTCGAAGAAGGTGGTGGTACAAGATGTTTTCTGATCAGCTTTTCAATATCTTCAATTTCGTAAGCTCCAGTAGGAATATCAATACTTTTTCTTCGTTTTTTGTCACCGTTTTCGAAATAATAGAACTTTGTACCTTCCTCAATGTTGGGTACGCTGTTGTACGAATGGAAACTGAGTAGAGCTAAGCCATATTCAGAATCGAGATCTAATGGAATCGGAGGAGAAAAATCAATAGAGAGCGTCGAAGAACGACTCTTCAATGTCAATATCAAAGACATGACTGATGAGAGAGTGTAGAGGTATGCATAATTTAAATAGTCGGGGGCTTTTTACTATCATCATTTTATTTTCGAATTCAATAAAAATGTTAAACATAAATGACCACAATTGATTTGATTGTATTTCTGATAGGCATCATTATTATAGAATATCTGCACGTTGTTTCCGAAATATTCGGCCAATTCCTTTGGTGGTTTCAAACAGCCATACGAATCGAAATAATGGACAATATCTCCATGTTTTTTATAAGCTACCCAATGTGTTCCGGGATTGATGGAGGAATCTAAATTCATAACTGCACACTCACGACGACGCCAAGGGCGGGTAGGTAGAGTGTCTCGCATGAAAACACCTCGAAAATATGGTATTTTCAGTTGTTTGGCATATTTAACAATCTCTCCATCATATAATGCTCTATTGGGTAGCTTGGATATCAGTTTTTTTGCTGCTTCTTCAAGAATAATCCAGCTCCACAGCCACCACCACCACCTCCTCCTCCTCCTCTTTTTTTTAAGTACAGTCCATATCCTTTACGTGTTTTACGTAGATACACACCGGAACCCAAATGCTCCATAGCTTGATTGTGACGTTTATCCTCTTCCATTTTTTTCCTTGCATTCTTGGTATCGATTACTGTCTTCGCGATAGCGCTTGCTCCTCCAGCCAACGATCCTAGAGCCGATAGGCCTGCAAATAGTGGTATCAACGGTAAGAATCCGCCACTTTTTCCTGTTGCAGGCAAAGGTATTATTCTGGGAATTCGGACTTTTTTTCTACCTCCGACTTTTTTTATTGCCTTACGAGCTGCACGCAAAGCTGCTGCAGATGATTTACTCAAACCACTACCCCGATGTTTACCACCGTCAGCAGCGTTATCGTCAAACGTTTTTTTCAGAGCAGTCAGCACATTTTTTACGATTTTAGAGAACGGGTGCTGCATCACCCCCATACCGAGTTTACGTTTTGTCTTCATACCGGTGGTGACGAGCCAAGCGGCAGCTTTCTCACCCAATTTAGCGTCTTTCGATTTAACTCGTTGCCAAGCTCTATTTTCCAACACCCGATCGGCCTTATGTCGTTCTTCCAAAGTGTTGTTCTGAGAGTATGCGATATCGTGTTCTTTACAGGCTTCGTCCAAGGGATTTATGCCTATATCTCCACGTTCTAGCCGCTCTTGTAATTTGGTCCCTGGACCACAATACGAATAACCTGGTAGATGTAATTCGAATGGTAGTTTATTGATGAGCGTATTGACAATACCTTCACCGCGGTAGATCAGCATTGAGAATGAGCACTGGTGTGAGAAAGCACCTTCATTTATAAAAGTCCACAATACTCTATGAATCGTCACACATCATGAGAGTCGTTCAACAGAAAAAGACGCTACCAATCGAAAATTTGGACTATTTGAATGACAACGGTAGCGGAATCAATCGAGGTAAACATGGCGTCCTGTTACCACACTCATTTCGTGCAATCATTTGCGGTCCAAGTGGATGCGGAAAAACAAATGCAGCACTGTCATTGTTGTTTCATCCGAATGGTGCTAAATTTGAGAACGTATACGTGTACTCAAAGTCACTGTATCAGCCCAAATACCAGTTACTTGAAAAGGTGCTGAGAATGGTGAAAGATGTCGGTTATTTTCCATTCAAAGATAATGAGGAGATTTTGGGTCCCAATGAAGCGAAGCCAAATTCCATTTTCATTTTCGATGACATATCCTGCGATTCACAACAGAAAATTCAAGAGTATTATTCCATGTGCCGTCATCGAGGCATCGATGCTATATACATAGGACAAACGTACAGTAAAGCCCCCAAACAGATGTTGCGCGACAACAGTAACCTAGTGGTGCTCTTCAAACAGGATGAGGTAAATTTGAAGCATGTGTTCGATGAACATGTCTCACCGGACATGACATTTGATCAATTCAAGCGAACTTGTGCAGATTGCTGGGGTGAAAAATATGGTACAATGGTTATTGTCAAGGAGCACGATCTGAACGCAGGTCGATATCGTCAAGGCTTTGACAAGTTTATAAAAGTATGAACTCGATGTGATAAAGCCTATTCGTCAACATGAAACCACCCAGCAAAGAGGTCGATGTCGTTCGCAAAAATAAAATTAATGAAATTGCAAAGGCTATAAAAAAGAAATATTTAGCTTTAAAATTGGGCAAATCAGAGGAGGATGAAACTTTGCAAAAATTCTTCAAACCTGTATCTGCACCACTGAAAGAAATGATAGCAGCAAAAACTCCATTATTCAACGCCTCCATCAAGAATGAGCCTTATTTGCTACCGAAAAAGGAAGAGAAAGTTCGCAAGAAAGAGGAACACAAAGAAGAAGAAGAAGAAGAAGCTCATGAAATACCGTTTCAGAAACTTGAACGTGTTGCTAGTACGAGTGGCGAAAGTGATGATGATGTGTTTGAGCAAGGTGTAGAGGAAGAACAAGAAGAAGGGGAAGGTGCTGAGGAGAGCATCGATCCTGCAGTTATTGAGTCATATCTGGAACAATATCCTACAATGGGCATTCCATTCATGAAAGAACATTGGACAAATAGCCATAAAATAGACAAAGTATATGGTCCTATATATGATTCTAGTAATTCAAAATGGTGGCTTGGCTACAAAGAAATCGATTTTGATGCACGAACTGGCTACATCAAAATTGCTGGAAAACAAGTGAGAGGAACACCTGGTATATATGAGCTGATATTCTACGATCTTCCTGAAAATTTCAATAAAGAAGATCTGAATGGATATAAACAAATTTTGGAACTATCGAACGCCCATCTGAATGCAAGTGGAAAGATGAAAGGTAGTCCAAGATTCAAATACAGGGAAATCATCAGGCCCATGTTTCGGCCGCCACCTCTACCATCAGCAGCAGCTGCAGCCTCACAATCAAGGGCACGACGTGGTACAACGGGACAGGGCTTAAAGATTAGCCGCGATATCAAGGGCAGAGAACCCATGATGATCACGTACAATACCAAGCCTGTCGAATACATCTATTGGGATGACCCAAATGAGTTGTGTGAACGTTTGAGATTGCTCATAGCATCACAGCAAGCTGGAAATACTTCTCTCGACAATGAGATTGTATCCATTATTTCTGAACTGAAGGAGGCAAATATTATACAATAGATATAAGCTTATGAAATATCAATCATTTCAAAGATGACAATCGATAAGTTCGGACGTAGTTCGGATAGAAAACGAAAACTGGTGGTGATTGCATCAGGTGACGGCGGCTTAGCACATACTCCTAAAGGCGATATAGATTTCGGTAATTTGAATTTGTGCAATGTCAAAACACCTATTTTGAAAAAGGATGCTGCAAACAAGGAATACGTGGACCAGATAAAAAATAACATGAAACAGTCCCTAGCGCGAATCCAGACAGATTTCAAGAGTGCAACTGATGAGTATTTCAAAAGAGTTGATGACAAATTCACAAAAGTTAATGATTCTCAGAATACCCAGTTGGTGGAGTTGACCACCAAGCTGGAAAATACAGCTATGCAAATGACACATTTTCTCAAAGAATCGTTGCCCAAACTGGAAAAAGATGTGAACTCGAATGCAAAGGGCATAGCAGATGTTTTGAAATTACTCGAAGATAATACTAAAAGTATAAGTACTCTGAAGAATGAGCAGCAACAAAGTCATCAGACAGT